GCTATATTTGTTGGCTTTAGACTTTTTAATTCTTTTGTTTGATTTGTTAATGATTTGGAGGCCTTGAGGGTTGTGAAATAGCCATATGATTTTTATAACCACTGTTTTAACAAGCAATTTAATATTAATTTTTTTTTTTTACTCCAAATCAGACTGCAAGTCTTGATATTTATTAATATAAGTCTTAATTAACAAAAATACAGTAATACAATATAGAATAATATTATACTAAAGCTAACTATGCGATTTTGCAAAACACTTGTCAATAGCTAGTGGTCTCTAAGTGTGATTGTAAGAAAATAAAAAAGTTGCTCAATTTTGGAGAACGTTTCTTGTCTTCCTCAATTTCATAGCCAGCCTTCATTTCAAAACTGTCATCTCTATACAACCATTATGGTCCTATGGAGATAAAAAAATTTTTATTTTTTATAAAAAAAAAGAGAAAGGGGAATATTAAAAGTGAAAAGTTTGTATTGGCAAATAAAAACTCCTTGAAATTAATCTTGAGTCTAACCGTCTACAGCTGGATACCCATTCAATTTTCACCATTTTGTTGCTAATCAAGAACATTTAAGGGCACTTCAAAAAGAGTAATTCTTGAAACTTTATGCTCGAAAACTTTTAACCTTTGGAGAGGATTGATATATTATTTGACAATTTCTTTTTCAGCTGGTTCTCTAAGGAATTACAGCTTTATTTAACCAGTGAATAGTTTCAAGACCTTTTTCCAACCATTTTCAGGATAATCAATAACAAAAGAAGCTTATTACTATGCCTAGGATAAAACTTTTCTTCAATCTTAAAGAGAAACAAAAGGGGAGGAAGAAAGCTTCAAACTTTTTCTTTATAAAGTAGATACCTCATCACCTTGCTCTTTCCATTAAAACCAATCACATCATTGGATTTGGTGTTGTGCGAGATGGAACATGTGGGAGTTACGTGTCTTGTTTACATTTTTTATTACATGTAGATCAACCAGTCCTAAATTTGAGCCAATCATCATTCAAGAATTCCAATGTAACCAGAAATTCAGGATCAAACTGAAATAGGTAAAATTCCCCAGAAAAACTAGAAAAAAGGAAACATACTTGAGAAAAAAAGAAGTGGAAAACCAAAGAGATGATAGAAAGACTGGAGACTTCTTTATTTTTGTTTCTTTAGATTCTTAAATCTTTTGGAAATCTTTGGAGAATATTTTTTCTTGTCAGTTTTTTTCTTATAAAGGTGTTCTTGCCATAGATCTTTTAGGTAGATTTCTTGTATTTAGTTGCAAAAATAAACAAGAAGAGTGTTTTGAAAAAGAAAAATAAAACAAGTGATAATTTCTGCTCATCTTATTGATTAAGAAACCAGTGTTGTTCAGGAGAGTGTATAGACTTTATTATTATAAAAACATAAAATCTTTTGAGAATGTCTGTTTTTTGGATTGGCAAAAGGATTAACAGAAAGAGTCCAATATAGTATATAATTAATAATCTGATTTTTGAACCATTTTGTATTAGATACGTGTACTTGTATTATAACCATTTAACTATTTAAAAATTAAGATATAATAAGTTACATATAGTATGTCAAATATAAGATTAAATTAAAAATTATTTGAATAATAGTAATTATTATATATTATAAATTCAAAAATTTTTGAATTAGAATAGCCTATCTATCACCCTTGATATCTTTGGTGTCATTGTATAAAATGTATTTGCTAATTTTTGTTATTTAAAGCATTTTTTGTAGAAGTAATTAACGTAATTTAATTATTTGTTATATTAACATATAATAAGCAAAGAAGTTTAAAATATAAATTTAATGAAAATAAACAAACTTCTCTAAACGTGTATCGATCTTCTTTAAATGTAAGCCTTTTTGAATACTAATTTTTAATTTTTTACATTTATCTGTCGCTCGAGGAGAGTTATGTGCTAACTTTTTTTATTTTTATGACGGTGCTTGATCGCGGGATAAAGTAATTGCGACAGCCAATCGTATTTAAAGGCTGTACAAATAGTTCTATTAGCTGTTTGAGACCACAAATTTAGTTTTTTCATAATACAAATCTTAAATCAACTTTGATCTATTACAGATAGATTCAAGAAAATGTACGGTAACGTTGGTCTTCCAACACCCAGAGGCTCGGGAACTAACGGTTATGTAGTTCGTAATCTTTCGTACATCCGACAGCGAAAAGACGTAGTTCCTTACGAATCTCTTGAAGAAAGCAAATCCAAAGCTTCTTCGCTCCTAAACCGCCAGCCAAACCAGGAAATATTGAATCATGAAAAAAAGAGAAAGGTTGAGATCGAGTGTTTAAATTACCGACGGAAACTAGAAGAAGTTGGGTAAGTATAATTCCGAATAAACCTGATTCGTCTATCCACTCTTATATAACTATTATGATCTTTCTAAATAAACAGGAAACGCGAAGAAGAAATTGAGGAAAGAGTAAATATATATCGTCAAGAATTACTATCATCTCTCGACACGATGAGAGACGACAAAAAGTGTGGATTTTTTTCGCAAGTGTTTTGAAGTGTAGAAATAATGACTATTACCGATTTCAATTTTAATTAAATTTTTACTTATAGTATACAAGAGCATCAGGTTCACCAACTTTCCCAGGCTAAAGCCACCGAGAATGAGAGAATGATGAAAGCATTAGGAATTAAACCGCATGAATATGTGGAAGGTGCGGCGTTCGATCGCGATTTACAAGAACAGAATAAACGTGATCGTTTAGCGCAAAAAGCTAAGCAAAATGAGGAACGCCAAAAAAGAATTATTGAAAAGAATATAGAGTTATTGAAAAAGAAAGATGATAAAAAGCAAGATGTGCGTGATAGAAATAAGTATTCTTCCGTTAAAAGAGAAGAAAAGAAGGATCATGGACGAGATTACAAAGACGGAAGAAAGAGTAAAAAACACGATACTGAAAGCAATAGTGAAAGTAGTAGTGAAAGTAGTAGCGATTCCTCGGAAGGTGATGACAGCGATAACGAGGCAGTTCGTCATGCAAAGAACTACGAATCCAAAGGTCGTTCTAATAGGTATGAAGATCGGGATGCAGATGTAATCCACAAAGGGAATAATGAATCAAGAAATATTAGGGACGAGGATTACAGAAGGACTGATCGAAGATTACCACGATCTCCCAGAAGACGTCATAATTCGTCATCGCGTAGACATAGGGATGCCAGCATACCTACTTCTAGAAGATACAGAGATGGCAGTTTATCACCCGTTCCAAGTAGACATCGTGAGAGCGCATCTCCACATTCACGAAGAAACCGTGATTACAGTTTTTCTCCTCCACGGAGACGACAAAGAAATTATAGCCCAAAGGATGACTATAATTCTAGGAGAACCTCACACAAACGTAGTCCTTCTCTGCCGTCATCCCACAGGAGACATCACAGCGACAATGTTCGTTCTGAAGATCGAATTTCACAAAGGCGTACAGAAGAATTAAACGAAATTCCACGTCGCCGCAGAAACCGTTCTTCCGACCTTGGTTCTTCATCTGAAGACGAGCGCAAAAGCAGTGTCTATAAAAGAAAGAGGAGAGATGATACTAGTGACAGTGAGTTAGATGATCGCAGAGATAGAAGGCCTCGGAGACATCGGGACACTATCGGTTCAAACTCCAGCGATAGCTCAATTCCAAAAGAGGAGACCAAACATCCTCAATTATCGCTTCCTGAACATCTTCAGAGAAAAAGGCGTAGAGGTAGAGAAAGCGATTCAAGTACTTATAGCAGTCAGAATGAAAATTGATAAATAAAATAATTGCATTTAAGATTTATTGAAGGCAAGGAAGTTACTGCATTTGGAATTTAAACATTGATAACATTTTGCTTTTTAGAATTCAATTTTCTGAGATTTAATTAAGACAATAAATATTTTTTTAATAATTTTATTATCTGTTTCTAACATTATATTGTATAAACCTCAATTTCAAATAAAAACAATTAAATCTTTAAAATATGCTTTTGTGAAATAAATGGAATATTTTGCTTAAGGAGTATGTTGATCGTCATCATACGCTTCACAAAGACTATACAATGATTCTTTCATTTCAATGAAATCGTCACGCGATAACCCAGCGGTTCCAACATTAAATTCAGGAAAGAGATCAAAATTGATACTTTGAAGTGCATTTTCATAACGTTGTAACAATTCATGTGTCCGAGTAGTTATAGTGAAATGAGTAAACGCAGGAACCGACTTAACCGAACATATAGCTGTGGAGGTTGTCGAATCGTCGACATAACCATCTGGGTTCAAGTTTTTAAATATTTTGGGGAAGGAATTTGGAATGGGGTAAGAGAGGTTTGTTACATGGAAATGATTACCTCC